AGTTTTCAGTTCATGTTTTCCGTCCCGTTTTTGCTCATATCTCGGAGGCAAAATGCGCAAACACGCTTATTTGTACATCATTCTGGAGAGAAATAAATGGCCTTTTTAGAAAGTGAACCATGGATGGGGAAATGTTGGCAGTTTTCTCAAAAAATGCTTGAATTCAAGAACTTTTAGATTTGCGTGGTTTTTGTTTGAGTTGCAAAATCCACTTGAACATAACGCTGCTCTTTTCGAAGTTTCTCAAGAACCATTTGAGCCAGAGAATTCGTTTTGGCATCGTTGGATAGATAATTGAATGGGGGGGGGCATGACCCCCATGACCCCCCCCCCCTGGATCCGCCTTTGGGGAGAGCAATATATATTAATCAACATTAAATTTCAGATCCATCCAAATCTTAAGCACCGCTTTTTCAATGGTAATAACTCAGGAGAGTTTATTCTTAATTACATGAGTGATATTGCTGCGCAGTTTTACCCGCAAAAAGGAATTCAAAGACAGGAGCTTATCGACGTTCTAAATTTCATTTTCAGCTTGGAGAAGGTAATTAAGGTCGAATTAGGATTAGTTGTTGATCATCAAACCACGCATTGCACAGATATCAGAAAAGTCCAGGCGATTGACCGCGAACAAACCAAATAATCTCTTCTATACCATAAGCGACCTGCAGAGCGAGTACCCAACTATTCCTTGGATTGAATATCTAGAAGGAGTTTTGCGCGCAGTTCCGCTGAGACCAGACGACGTTATTAACGTTGCTGATCCTCTTTACCTGAAGTACTTACATAGTCTCTTAAATAGTACAAACCCCAGGTGAAGTAGATTTTTGACTTTAGATCTTGAACTAGGTATTAATAGGAATTTTCAAGGATTATTGCCAATTTCATGGGATGGCAAGTTATTCAATCTCTAATCAACTTCTTACCACCAACCGTCCAAGACAAGTCGTATACTTACTTGGAGAAAATTAATGGAGACTTTTATAGGAAGCCCAGGTGGAAAATTTGCGTGGAAGCGATTAGGGAAAGGTAAAAATTCAACGGGGCGTTTACGAGTTATTTTCTTTCTGACATGCACCTCTATTCTGATTCTCTATTTAAGGATGAGTGCTGTAATAAATATGGGCTACATAAAGCTATATTTCGACAATGACACCAAATACCGTGTGATGGATCTTATAAGGGCAGTGAAGAATACTTTCCGCAAACGCCTTCTAATGGCCGAGTGGTTAGATAAAGTAACTAAAAGAAAAGTAATGAAGATTTTGATGTCCAGCGTGGTAAAGTTGTACTCGGATAGTGACTTGGTAAACCTCGCACAAGAAAGCTCGTTTTACAATGAGGTAAGCAGCTCTAAATATTGGCGGGCTTTCGGGCGTATGCACGGACAACAACATTTCTAGATTAATATTGAACAAGATGAACTGTTAAAGGGGGTACTACATTTGAACTTAGTGTATTGGGATCTGCACTATGCTCGACTCATAGCGCCAGTCCAAGACGAATGGGTAAGATCGCAAACATTTCTCAGTGGCAGCAAAGTCTCGTATTCAGCCACTGAAAATATTCTTAGTAAGTTTTTTTGCCCAATGGGAACGAGCTGACGTGATGATTATTTTATCGATTTTCAGAATTTCCTCTTGGGATATTTCGAGGGATCTACTTCGACAGCAGCCGACCGGATTACATGAACTACGCCCTCTTGGGCAATGTGCTGGGCCATCAAATTTCGCATATATTTGTTGACGGCCAACTAGCCAATATGCAAGCATCGAAATCTGCACAACAAAAAATTTTGAACTGGTGGTCTGCGGAAAGTTTGCAAGCATACCTGGATATAATGCAGTGCATCAGCAATCAATTTTCCCGCTTCCAAGCACAAACAATCGGAACTCCCCATGTAATACATGTATGTATCTACATGTTTTGGTCGCAAAACTGTTCTAAAATGTAAAATAGGCCTTTTATTGTCTCTATTTATCAATCAAAATATTCATCAGTTTTTCTAAAATAACAGGTAGTTAAAAAATGTTGTCATTAATTTAAAAAACAGCCACAGTTCGTCAACAGCCTCATCATATCACACATTAAAATAAATCACAATTGGGATACTTTAAAACACTCTAAAATTAATTAGGCCTAACAGGT